GTTTTATGGTATGTTGGTGTGAATGCTGCATGTTATGTAACAATTACCTATAAAAATAAATCTATAAATCTTGAGCATATCTCTGGTTTCTTGAAACAAATTAGTCATTAGCTAGTATTTTTTTCCTGTTTACTCCAACCAGTCGGCTACCAGTGCACAGCCTTTGGCTTTCCCCAGAGGAGCTGCAACTTGATTTGATGATAGTCATTAACGCAATAAAAAACGGATAGTTAACTGCATCCGTCCGCAGTAAAGTATGAGTAATCCAGAGTTGATCCCACTTCGCACCTGTTATTATCACTTATGGTTATTAAACTTTTATCTATTGTTATTGTACTTGAAAATCGTTTAAGTTGATATTAAAACTGATAAAACCACTTAGACTGTAATTGACTTTTCTAGTAAATATTTATTTTTGCTTGTCCTTGCCTGATTTTTCAACACCAGTTATAATTAGCATGTCAAATAATTAAGATAGACAAACTTAATAGTAAATGAATTATTTAATTATAGAAAAAGTAAACTTTCGAACTATAGTATTCATTGAAAAAAACTATAAATTAAAAAAAAAAGTTAACTAGAGATTGATATATTTTTTCTATATCAAGTTATATTAAATATATTTTTTCAGTATAATTTTCTTTAGGGCCTGAAGTACATTTTAGAAACAATTATACTGTTATTGATTTATTTTTGCTAAAAAAAACTACTGTGTTATGCTTTTAATTAGAGAAAAATCAAGCAATGGCAGATAAAAAACATTAAATGAGGAATATTATTTTTATTTTCCAAGCCAATCTAATTAATTCTATAGTGTAATGTAAATCGGGAAATAATACACTTGAAACAAAAGAAAAATTTATCATTTATCGTTATGTATATGTTATTTTTTTAATTGATTTAGAATGTCAGTGACTTTTATACATTCGTTAAATTTTCATTAATTCTATTAAAGTTTCTGAATTATTGAAGCAAGTTAGTCGACTGTTCTACATATCATGGGTAATAAATATTCAGGATGCAGTCCTTTTTAAAAAAAAAAAAATATTTATGGCAACGTTCAGGCCGTGGTTTGAGCACTGAGTTTGTTCAAGTACTCTATTGTAATCAAGTATCAGTAAATATATCATAATAGTTTATAATTTATGCGATACCATTTCAATTTTCAACAACCTGTAAAACGTTAATCATAAAATCCTATTGTTCTTACCGGTTCCCTTAAAAATCAGAAAATCAAAAACCTCTTTATATCATATTTGAAAATATGATATAAAGATGTATAAATATTTAGCTTTTCACAAACGAACGTTTACGTTTAATTTTGATGTATACAAATTATACATCTTTATATCATATTTTCAAATATGATATAAAGAGGTTTTTGATTTTCTGATTTTTAAGGGAACCTGTAAGAACAATACGATGTAAGAACAACGTTTTACAGATTGGTGAAAATTGAAATGGTATCGTATAAATTATAAACTATTATGATATATTTACTGATACGTGTACAAAAAGATTCAAACATAGGCATACACATACTATTTGTTACGTGGCTTAAGAGGGATGGGAAACTAGATTTTAACATAAGAGTATTATTGGGAGCTGGTGTGGTCAAAACTGTGCTATAATCTACTATCATAAAAGTTGTTTTTTAATATATTATATATTGTATTTTATTTTATAAATAAATAATATTTAATGAGTGGAAAGTGAGTGAATGTGTGGATCAATTAAATAACACTACTTTTATACTGTTCAGGTGGTTTGTACAAAAAAAAAAGGATAGAAATAAAAAAAAGGGTAAATGATGATAACAGACACTTATAGATAATAAGATTAAATAAATAAATTAATTGAAATTAATAAATCAATGAACTTTTAAAATTAAAAAAAAAAAAATAAATCTGCAAAGGATCATTAGTTATAAACTTTTATAGTTATATATGTTTTATAATTTTTTCATTGTAAAACATATATAACAAGTTTATAGCTATTGATCCTTTGATTTAAACATGCATCATTCATCACAAATATCAAGAACATCTAATTGTCCAAAAAATCTTTAAACTAATACATTATTTATCGGTGAAGTTTATTCTTTGTCGATAGCCAATGCAATGAACTTGGCAGTTGCCTGGTTTGGCGCTAAGCTAAGAGATATAAATGTGCTTCGTGAAGTACGTGAAGTAATTTAATTCCTTTCCCTGTATCTTGTTTTTCCAAGGTTCTCCTTGCATTTAAAGTATTTTTTCAATTCAATTAATTTATTTTACTCCTCGACTAACATAAATAATGGTTTCCGAAAAAAATATATTTCTTGACATGAGAAGGAGTTAGTCGGGGGTGCGGTGAAATAAATACTAAATTAAAATATAATAATTATTTAAATTTTTGCCGACGTTTCGACCCACTCTGCAGGTCGTCTTCAGGGCTACAAAAGATACAAAACATGTTGAAAATATAAAATAAATATTAGTAGATATAAAATAAGAAGAAGTTGTCAGATACAGAAATAAAAGATGATATCAGAGATATAGTGGGTGACAATGTTGTTAAATATTAAGTATTATATATTTATCTTCTACATGTATAATACTTAATATTTAACTACATTGTCACCCACTATATCTCTATCATCTTTTATTTCTGTATCTGACAACTTCTTCTTATTTTATATCTACTCATATTTATTTTTTATTTTCAATATGTTTTGTATCTTTTGTAGCCATGAAGACGACCTGGTCGAAACGTCGGCAAAAATTTAAATAATTATTATATTTTAATTTAGTATTTATTTCACCGCACCCCCGACTAACTCCTTCTCATATTATATCAACGGTCAACCATCTCTACATCATTATATTTCTTGACGTTGCTATTGTAAAATAATTTTATAAATATATTTTAATAATTTTAAATCTTTCGTTTATTTAATTTTATTATCAAAATTGTAAACCTATTCCGAATAATTCAAAACCACCATAAATTAATTGGAAGATTATTTTATTGTTTATTAAATGTGAAAGGGAAAATTGGAACGATGCCCGTCGATAAAATTGTCTACAACGTAGTTAAGGCGCAACAATAATAAATAAACAATATTTTAAAAATCCATTGAATATAATTGCATTAATTAACCGTTCATATGTTAAGTCATTGACTAAGCTCAGTTGATCAACATTCATTTCTTTAGTTCTTGTTATTTATAATTAATACAACTCATTATTTTATTTGCATTCCTTATTAGAAAATAATCTTTAAATTAAGTTGTTTTTTAATTGCTCTCGACGTAAACATAAATACGATCTTGGAATGACTACAACGACATTACTATTATTGTGGGTACTACTTTACAACAGTTGCTCCTACTTTGACTGGTGGGCACAATTACTCATGATCACTTCATAATTGGAATTTCGATTGTGGCCGAATGTATACGAAATTAGACGGAGGCGACCGAACCGTCTCGTAATTCGCAGAGCTCAACAGAAGAGGACTCAATGGGGGTACGCTTACTTCTTTCGAGGGAGCTTAGCGAGCTGTGGCGATGGCTGTGATGTAATTAAACTATAATTTAAAAATTAACTTTAATTATAAAAGCTAATTTTGGCTCCGAATTTAACTGAAAAAGTGTGATGGCCAAGCATGTAAAAGCCAAATCCTCTGTGATATTCTAGAGCATAACGAAGCCAGTTGGAATCCGTTAGAAATTCATTTCGTTGTGGACCTGCGGAGTGAACCTCGCTCTTCTCAATCTGGCTAAAATAGATTTTGTTGTATCTCAACGGCGACCCCCAGTATGCCAGAAATGTTGATGTTGGAGGTAATCGGAAAAATGAATAAAAAAGTCATTTTTTTAAAGGCCTGATGGAAATTAAAAAAAAAATTACTATAGTAAACGTGTTATTGCGTTTTCTCTAATCTTAATGTCATTCTCAAATGTAACTTTAAAAATTCAACAAATAATATATTTGTCTGGTCTATCAAGTTATTTCGTTAAAAATCACTTATTTTCTAAATATGGGTAGTTTCTTCTCATATTTAAGAAAAAAATGGTCATCATGAAACTGTCATAAAAATTTCTTCCATTTAACAAAAACAAGCAACTGATTTAATTAATTTGTTTACAAAATAAAAAAAACTTTTATATCAGCGGTTACTCGAATCGGTATGTTCAGAAAGCACTGAAATAGGTAAATTAAAAGGTCGTGTCAATTCGAGGATTACAGAAGCGATCTAAGATTCAGACTACCAGAGCATAGAGGAGAATGACTAAAAATGAACTGCATACAGAAACTGGTCAATCAATATTTCACGAAATGAAGGCAAGGAAGTTAAGAAAGTCAGTACAACTTAGAGTAGATCGGATCAATCCATTAGGAGGTCTCTAGACAACAATGAATGCTTCAATAATTGGAAAATGTCTACGAGGAAGGCCAAACCCATATGAGTAGATAAAAGATATATATATATATATATATATATATATATTATATTATATATTATATATATTATATTTATGTATGTATATATATATATATATATATATATATATATATATATATATATATATATATACGTATATTGCTTATCGCTACTGTTAATGGTAAAGGTCGTATGTAACAATTTTACATATTAATTCACTTTGCGGTAAAGCTGACATTTTGTTGTCTGGAACTGCTATAAGTAGTCTGCTAAACAGGAAAATAGCAGAGGAAATAAAATATGAAATTATACTAATAAATCATAACCAATTATTATGCTGTTCTGAAAAAAAAAACTCAGTTTTCACATAAGAGCTTTTGCAGTAACAATAACGTTATATATATTTAAGAAATTATATTTTTGTTTTACCTGAGATAATTTGAAAAGAAATATTTTTCTTAAATATATTTATAATCTGACCGTTTATTCTGAAAAACTATGAGAAGACGGAAAACGAGATATTAATAGAATACCACTTAGAAATATGTAAGTTTATAAATAGGTAAATTTACCGATTTCAATTTCCTTCTCGAGAAATGTTCTCTATTCCAAGAGTTGATTATCATATTGCACCCTGTTCTTCGCAATGCTCGAATAATCTTCGTCCTTCGAGAGCAGAAAACTTCAGATGTTGTTCCGCCATGTACATCGATGCGGTCGTTGATGAAAATTCCCTCAGATCCGAGCAGCTTCAACTGCTCAATTCTACAGCCCATTAATATTGATACCCGGGTGACGAGGTTTTATTGTCATTGAAATTTGCAGATTAGTGTGAACGATTTGGCCAAGTGATATCGTTTTGCAACTAAAGATGATAAGCGCCTTTGAGTTTTATCTTCCTTGGCTCTCTCTTCAGCTTTCTATTATTGCACTGCCTTCACAATAGTTTATGTCACGGTTGTCTAGCGGAACTACACTTAAACCTGAGATTGTTTGAAGCAGTGTTTTTACAAGTTGAAAATATTACGATTTGTAATGAAAGCAGCTGCTCCCCATTGACTGATAATGGCGCGTGTTGGTGTCAGAGCATAAATTAAGAAAAGAAAATCGTACCTAATAAAATAAACTGAAACCGCTTCTAAAACCGATTCCGTACAAGATAATTTAAAAACATATTTATTTTTCGAGATTTACAGCTGTGCATAACAATACGAGCAAATATACTGAGTTTACATTAAAATAAAATATTAACTTCTTCATACCTTACGATATGTAACAGCTAACCATGTTAACATAAATAAAGTAGTTTTATGCTTGGGAGAGGAGTACATTAATTATTCAATATGGTTATTTAGTATTTTAATCTACACAAAGAGAATAGAGCAAATTTTATCAAGACCCTTGGTCGGCTCCTTAAAATATTTGGTTTCCTTAAATTGGGATGAATTTTGGAAACCATGCAAAAACTATTTATACAGAACTTTTCATAAACAAAAGTCATGAACAAACATTTAGAGTAAAAATCAATCCTTACACTATTTATATAATTTCTTTTCTTGCATTAAAAGATTTTTCTACGAATAATGAACACAAAACAAGCAAAACTATTCTGTTTCCGAAAAAAACTTCGGCTTTTGCGATCTTTTTTGAGTACTTAACTGGACTCGCTTTAATTTTTTATGTCTTAAAAATTATTGATAATATCGTCCTATTTTAAGGTTAATGTATAATCTTTATACAAGGAGAAGTATCTGAAGCCTTTAAATCTGAAGTTCGAACGGGTTTACTCCAGGGAGATGGACTATCACCGATGCTGTTCAACTTAGCCCTGGAGAAGATAATATGAGCAACATCACAGGAAAATGGAAGAGTCCTCGTCGGAATGAATAATAAAATCCTTGGATACGCAGATGATATAGCTTTCCTTGGAAGTAACCAAAAGGACATCGAGAAACTAAACATACGGCAATAAGCCGATAATTCCACCCCAATAACAGAATCTGCGCAGAAGGAAAATCATTCCCGAGAATAGAAAAATTCAAATGCCTCGGCTCCACAATAACCTCAATGAATGACCACCGGGCAGAAATAGACCAGCGTATAATTAGCGCAAACAGAACTTTTCTTCTCCCTCTCAAAAGTATTGAAATCCCGAAAATTCTCAAGAAATTTCAAACTAAGAGTGTACTATGCCATGATAAAGCCAGTTCTACTATATGGCTGTGAGACCTGGAACTGAAGTTGATTTGAAAAAGATTTGAGAGGAAAATCCTCTGCACGATAACTGGAACGATCTGTGATCAGAGTACTAACACATGAAGAAGAAAGACCAATAAAGAACTGCTTACTGAAACTGGTCAATAAATATCCCATGATATGAAGTCACGGGGGTTATGATAGGCGGTGTATGTAGCAATCCATCTGGAATCCTCTACATAACAATGAATGCCTCAATAGAAGGCAAAAGACCGCGTCGAAGGAAAAAAGCAGTTGGATAGATAGAATCAACAAAGACGCAATAGAATTGCGTGCAGATAAATGGAAAGAAATAGCAAATACAGGCAGAGAAGGTTTGTGAAGGCGGCGAGATATCTAAATGGTCTGAAATGCCAACAGAAAAAAAAATCGTCATATTTTTTTCTTTTCTTTTTCTTCAATCAATATCAATTTTGAATTTAATCGTTCTTAAATTAACTAAATGTATTTATTATAATTAAATAAATAAATTAATACTTTGTAATTAGTTATTTATTAATGAGATTAAAAAAAAAACTCATAGTGAGGATAATATATATGAAGGAAATACATCATTTATTCACTAATAGGTATGTAAATGTAATATTGAAAAACTAGATAGAGAAAACTGGCAGGAACCGAAGCTGCAATTAAAATAGGAAAGTCGTCGAAAAAATTGCGCAATTCGTAACTAGAACCATTATTTGTGCCAATTATAAATGTCAGAAATCTTGTCGGACGAGTAGACCAAGAACGTACGGCCATGCCTGGAAGGTTAGCGACTTGGAAATGCACAAATGCATCAAAACCACACGTTCTGTATTCCAAGCACAAACCTCACATATGGACTTGAACTAGCATTTCCTGGCGTTCGGGCGCCATGTGGATACTTTAATCGGAATATTCTGCTCCAGTGCACAATAGTATTATATAAATGCATTCCTTCTTAGAACGGCTCTATAAAATATATATAAATATAAATAAAAATTTAGTGAATACTTACAAACCAACTTTAAGTAGGTTCAATTGGAACTGGAAATGGGCAACACAGGCATACAAAAAAAACTGTCATAGATCCATAAGATCTTTAAATATTTCCTTTAAATTTGAGTAATTTTTAATTTGAATTCTGTTTTATAATAATATATATTTTATAATGTTGATCAGGACTTTAATTCTATTTTTAATAATTAAAAAAAAAATTGATCCTTTTGTGCTATTTTATTTTGTTCATTCACACAACGTTTCAGCTCTTTAGTGACATTTTCAAGAGAAGAAACATTTTAAAAAACAAACATCACTGCCTCATTATAGTATAATATTAATTATTTTTGTAATATATTATTAATTTAAATACCTTACTTTATAAAATAAAAACATTTGGCTAGTTTGCCTTTGTCACATTTTTTTATATAATACTGAACCCCTCCTCATAAGGTTATATTTATATAAATATTTCCAGTGTATAATCATTTAATTTTTCAGAAAGAATAAGTTGATATGATATATTTTCTAAGAACAGAAAATATATTAATTTAAAAAATAAAATGATAATAAAATGCCAATCAGTTCTGAGCTATATGTAAATTACTTGCATTTTCCCGCTTGCCATTTAAAATAACTAGTAGAAAAGCTATTTTATAACAGGTGTTCCCCTAAGAATATTCTAGAACATAAGGGGAAAAAACACTGACCTTGGAAATTAAATAGAGAAGTAATTTATACGTCGTGACGACGGTATATTCTAACCGACGGAGCAATGGTTTTGATAAATTATTCTCCTCAGTAAAAGGTTCGAGAACATTATTAATGCATGGTCCATTCATAAAGCGGCTATCGGTTAGCTAAGTTGTATTAAAGAATTACTAAAAAACCATTTAAAAAAAGTAATATTAAAACAAAGTTTCCCGCTGTATATTTTTTTTAGAATAAAACCATTCAATATGTTATGTAGATTTACCATGACATAACACTAAAAATCATTATAAAAAGCACTGTAATGAATATAGTAATGGAGTTTCCATGGCAATTTTCCTTTCAGACGCCTAAAAAATAAGCTAGAATAGACCACATGCCATGCTATGAATACGTGGGTCTGTGTTAGTAAAGAACATGGAATTAAAGGTGTACTCATTTCAGCTCAAATATGTAACAAGTAGGATATTAAGCTTTTTATTGATGAATTGTGTGTTTTATGTTGTATGGATTAGATTCAGAAGGACTTTATTTACAGCCAATAAAATCAGACTAAATATTTACGCCAAGCTATTAGTATAGATAGAGTTAGTCTACGAGACTTAGTCATAATCTTGGTCTTGAGACAACTATTCCAGTGTAGGTCTTGGTGTTGGTATTGCGCACCCAGTCTCGGTCTTTCACAAGAGTCTCGCAAATCATACAATTATCTACTAGTATATTGCTATTTATTAAACACCTTAGTTTAGATTTTAGAAAAATCCAACAAAGTAGAAACATTTTTAGGTTATATTGACATAATCATAGCAAAGTCCAACCAAATTAATACAAATAACTTGATAATACTTCAAAACTATCCTGTTATCTATTTAGAATTATTTTTTATTCACAAAAACGCTTTTTTTTTTTTAATCTTGCTTCAGTTCTAGCAAATGTTTAATTTCTTTGCTATTTCGAGAGTTGAGTTCGGATAGAAGATTCAACTAGAAAAACCACATTATACTTCAAAATATAATAGCTTTTTGTTTTATAACGACCATATTTGTTATTAGATAAAAGGAATCATAGTTGAATATCCTTTATTATTATTCAGCTCAGGGTGGATTAATTATGAGTAAAAAACGTATGCATAAGTGTCTTTTTAATTATTAAATAAATTATAAAAGCAGCTGTCAAAAGAAAATTATGTGGCCAAATGATTTAATATTCCTCCGTCTACATTTACATCATTTTCACAAAAGAAAATCATCATTCAAAATACAAGATATGTTTTGTTTTTTAATTTTTATATCAAGGATAACATAGATCTACATATTTTAACATAGGAATTTTAATCAAGATTGATAATATGAATTTTTCCTTCTTTTTTTTTAACAATTTATAATCCCGTTTTTTCAAAAATCACGATAATTCTTTATAACCCTCTAGCCTCTTGGCGTTATGCCGCTCTAAGCACATTCTAGTCGCTGTAAGCGCAGAGAGGAAATCGTCCTTAAACGACTCAGAATAGGACATACGAGGCTTACACACCTTCACTTATTCACTAAAGAAAACCACCCCATTTGTTGAAGGCGTGGAGAGAGAATGACAGTGGTCTATGTCTTTGAGAGTTGCACCTGTAATTTAAGAATGTTGAATGAAAACGGTATACCAGCATGTCCATCAGCTGCTTTGGGAAAAAAGGAGGAATTCTGTATTGAAGTCATATTTTTTCACCCCAAAGAAAAAAAAATTAAATTATCTGAAACCTTATATGTCCTTTTTTATATCTTATTATTATTTTTTCCTATACGTAACTAGCATATATAAATAAATAAATATATATAAACTTCATTAATGACGTTGCTAACCTACAGGTCTTACGCCTTAATTCCATAACAACCAACCTTGGCATTACGAATTATTGGGATTGTACAGTATGATATTTTCTGAATGACCCACAGAAAATATTATCGCTTGATTGCAGATGATCAAATGCAATTTTCTTTTTACATCGGTTCAACTCTTGATATAAATAAATATTAAATAAGTAAAAGGAAAATAAAATTGGTATTACGAAATATAATGAAAACCTACTTTAGGTTCAACTGAACTTGATACAGGAAGACTATCTCCAACACAACAATTCTTATCTTGTCGTTCAGTAATGGGATTCCGGACCTTAACAAAGAACGTAATTGCAAGGCTTTACAGTCGGTAGATAACTCTCTCTTGTCAGGGAAACGTTTAAGTATTCTTTACTCATTCACAAAT